GCCCTTATTTTTAATATAGTTGAATCACATTATGTACATATATTTATTTTACCGTAGTCTATTATTGCTAGATAAATATTTACTAAAAAGTTATTTAAGTAAATCTCATAAATTTTATAAAGAGATTTTTAGTAGTTTGTTTTATTCTCCATTATGCTTAAATTCAATGAGGTAGCTGTTTTCTCGTGATTTCGCTCCGTATGATGTAGCTTAGGTACTCGTAGGTGAAAGAATATTTTAAAAGCCGGTCCAGTACTTTCAGAGCCTATTCGATTCACACAAGCAAACAATCGAATCTTTCCTCTTTATATTACCTGCAATGGGCTCGAAAACTTTAGAGTATGATAAAGTTATCGAATAAAAAAAACATCTGATTTGATCAGTAATGCCATCTATGAAACCGTGACGCATATGCTGAAGTCTATGGTTATAATTAAATACTCGTGTTTAGCATTTCCCGCACATCTCATAAATCAAGAGATAAAAAAATTTTAGTAGATTTATTTTTTATTACACTTTCATTACAAAAATATAGCCAATGTCTCCAGTGAATTCGGATATTTTACAGTATGGAAAAGTTACATTTAATTTGGTTACTAGCTCCATCTATGAAAACGTTGCGTAACCGCCTGGATAACGTTTGCTATCTGCATGCTATCTGTTTACCTTGCTGCCATGCTCTGCTCTACATAAAGTTGTCCATTGCAATCGAGGTCATCCTTGTGATAACAAGCATGCTAGCGCAGCAGTGTGAAGTCAAAGATTTCTATAGAAAATAAACATTTTTGTGTGGTACTCACAGATAACAATATTATTTTGTGATACTAGAAAATTTCTAATTGATACTATGGTAAAAATAAAACAAAAGTCGTTGTGAAAAACTTGTTCATTTTAACAAAATCACATAATTGTTCCACAACAAGAGAAACGAGAGCACGGGGAGGACAAAGTGATAATAAAGAGTAAACAATACAGCAATACGAAGAGAAAGTGAATGATGAACTATTTAAAAAAAGAAAGCACTAAAAAGCGCCTCCACTAGATGGCGACTCTATCAAATTTGATTTTTGCAGGCAACTAATGGACGAAAGATAGTCATTTCCGATCCTTATAACTAACGTATTAAAGAATTTAATTTTTTAAAGTTCGAAACTTAGATATCAATAAAAGTACAAATAGAATATGAGTTGTTTATTGAGTTTTGAAAATGAATTTACTTAAAACCGAAAGGGTTGTCATGAAGAAATCAAGAAAGTACCGTGGCGACATCTTGTTTGATTTCGGGAACTAATGTTTTTTATTTATAGTAGATGAACGCGAGAGACGCCACAGAACTCTGTGCTCGACAAACGGACGAGAGCAAGAGCACGTGATATTGTATAGGCATATCTCACTCTTGATCCTTATCTCAAGCTTCTTGAGAGTTCTGAGTCTCTCGAGTTCGTCATGCTACGCAAGCAGGTGTTCCAGAGTTGTATTTGAATCTATAACCAGAATAGACGGAAGCTGTTGTCAAAAATGCAGGGAATGTTATCAATTACTAGATAATAATAAAAACACAATTTCTTTATTTTTGAGATATTGGACAGATGCGCATTCTCCTGATAACTTAAAATGTAAATTCCAGTATCATTGCGATTCGCATGATCGACAACTCTTTTCTTCTAACACACTCTCACTTTCTACTCCTCTTTTTCGTTCAGGCTTTATGTTCGACTCTTTGACTCTTCAAACTGTGGAATAGCCCTGATCCCATCAGAAGATTTCCCAATATTTTTTTTTAAACGTTAAGCTCATGTGCCTTTCTTATGAAAAATATGTTTAATTCATCATCAATATTATGTATCTATATTTGTGTTATTGTATATATTTTATATTTATATTTTTTTTCGTCAGTTAGTTTCTATGCATGTCTACGCATAGTTAATCTTTACTTTATGCCGCCATCGCGTTTATCGTTTTTCCTAAAGGTTGACTGGGAGAGAATGCCATTAGCATTAAATCCGCCTTTTGTACCATTTCTTTACTGGTCAATAAAGTTTAATACCGCGTAATGCGGTATTGAAAAAATCAACGTATCTTTCCAGAAGTGAGTAATTTATACATAATTATATTATGGGCGTTTATAAGCTGAGGAAGAGTATGCAATTTGGCACAGTTAACATTTATAAGGAGAAGAAATGCAGGATTTTAATATTATTATAATAGCTAAGGCATTATTACACTGCTCCCAATATGTACCAATTTTAATGACGCTGCCCATATTTTTATAGTGTCCTCGAGAGAATGAATAAAATTCACCCAAAAAGACTAGAGGGAATACAATTGATTACTATCAGATTATTATAGAATTTGTTTTGCATATTTTCGGGAACAACATTAGTATATCACTAAAACTGGAATACGGCATTTTCATAAAGATGCTGTGCCATGTGAAGATGCTACAGATTTTCATGAAATTGGGAATATGTCACCCAATCCATTACACGTGCAAGTATCTGATACAAAATCTATATTCGATACACCACCAATGTCCGAGTTAAAAGAATAATCTTCTGCTAAAAGAATTTTAGCTGCGAAAGTGAGAAAATTGAAACAACAACGTAGATATCTTAAATCAAAAACAAAAAATGTTGAAAAAAAAATTAGATCAGAATTACCTCTGGAGAGCTGTAATTCAATAAAAACAAGGTATAGTAGCAAACCCTTAAAACAACAAGATAAGAGATTTAGTAAATTTAAATCTTTACTACATTTTGGATTAGGTTTTAATTGATTGAATACCTATACTGAGACAGCGCTGTGTACGACGACGAACTCTACGCAAATTTATCACATAATAACACTGCCTCCTAAATGGCCAATAGACAGCTTGTTCTTTGGTACTCACAGTGTTGTTTAATTGCTATTCAATAAAACTAGCATTTATACAATATTTATTTATTTTGAAACATCTTATTTTAGTTATAATAAAATGATATGTATATTAAAACATTTATTACTATTATATTTAACAATAACCGCTATAATTATTACATTTATACACCATTACTACTCGTTAAAACACGAGCGATTTCGAATCAATCCTCTACACATTATTAGTTGCGCATGCAAAGTACGTTAGGTATGTGATTTCTGAAACTTTTGAAGGAATTTTAAATGGCGCATATGCTCTTTCAAGATTACTATAGGTTCAAGATATTAACATTTGATAATAGCTGTGAAACTTCTTGATTTAGACTACTGGATGTGAACTCCAGATGTGATAATACCCATTTGTTTTTTCGTTAAAAGCTTTTATTTAACTTGTTTTCTACTAGATTACTAGCTCTTACTTATTTAGCTGTTTTTATTGCTTATTTAGCAGTGGGTACCTACTGCCTAGGCAACTGTATAAATAAATTCAATTGTAGTCTATGTGTAACTTAATGCTGTTCTTTCTCAAAGAATGAAGACTAAGTCTCTTCTGAACAGTAGGATTTTTCATATATCAGATTTTGCATTGAACTTCGTCTCTAATTTATTCTGAAACGGTGTGACAATTTCAAAATTTAATATTTAATTGTGTAATCATATTAGACATTGAAAAGAGTACTATGAAAATGCTTGTCACTGGAAAAATACAAGAATAGACAAGTCGACATAGATCTCCGATTATTAAAAGGTGCGCTAATAATATTTTTACAATGTAGCGAAAATCAATAATACCTACGTATAAGAAAAAAGTGCAGTATATGACCACAAATTTGGACGTGATTATAAAATTCTAGACATATTTATTCAACATGATAAAAAAGCTATCACAGTACACAGATCTTTGCTTATTTTTTTTTCAATCATTATCTACATGAAAATACATTTAATCATATTGCACAACATTCTTACCAACGAGTGCTTTTGAAACATTTTGTTGTCAATCTAATTTTAAGATTTTCTTTTTAAGTTATAACACTTTTTTAAACTTAAAAATCATTATCATCATTATTATTTTACTTGAAAATTTTATGTTTAATGTATTACATGATAATTTACAAACATACGACTTATTTTAACATACATTGCAGACTTTGTTTATTAATTATAATGACATATAAACCTAGTACTATGTACACATTCTACTTATTGATTTCTAAGAACTAATATCAGTTTTCGTGCTGATAAAATAATATAGTTATCTAATTCTTATCTTTGGATTTTTAAGTCGTGCACTAAATTTGAGCGTCGATACAAAAACTAAGAAAAGAAATTTAAAATTCAGGTACAGAACATGTATATTTTTTTTAAGAATTGTAGTTAAGGAAATAGAGATTTGAATGGCACAAAGACAATAAAATGACATAGCTTTTGAAAGCTGTTGTACTTGCATTAAAAAATACGAGTAAAATTCGACAAGGGCTTTGTTTATATTTGAAACTTTTATTGGTATTGAATTTTTTGCTAAGATTTATTTTCTTTTTTTATCTTGACATTAATATTATATTTATAAATAAGATATAAATAATTCTTGTTAGACTTCCGTTTTCAAATAGGGCTTTTAATTAAGTATAATTCATTTTAGAAAATAACAATGATCTATATTTTTGGCGATTGTTTTAAGTTTTTAAATATTATTTAGATATACCGATGTCATATTTATAATTCATTCAAACCAGTTGCAAATTAATATTTTACTTCATTTTACTAAATATGTTGGTCATTGTTGATTCTATAAATCTTAAATCTATATATAATTTTAAAATGTAAACATAACCGTCAAGGCTCCATTAAAATAGGACTTATTCTTCATCGTTGAGAAGATCCGTGCAGGATTTGGCTTTGGTTGATCTGTAATAGATTAAAAAACGGTAAGTATTGTACTGTTACAATCTTTGTCCAAGTGCTGCATAAACCACGGCTTCATAGTGACTATAAAACAGGTGTAATGCCAAAAGATGTGAATTAAGGGGGTAATTTTGTATTTTTTTTCTAAAGGCAAAATTTTATAAATTCTCTTTTTTGTTGTGATAGGACCCTTATAATTATGATGTTATTTTGTCATTTACAATTACAGCTTATTCGTATGTTATTTCATCGTATAAAACTATTTGAAAGTAGCGCAACAAAAATTAAAAACGGATGAACCCATGACTTTACTTTTGCGGTTAGGTTTTTAAACAGTTTAAATTGTTATTGAGAAATAAGGAAAAATAGGTTTTATTGTATTAGTAATGAACTGGTATAATACTTACTGAGGATTCTTCACTCTCCGGCAAACTCTCAGTTCTATAGGACCACTTCGTACTGATTTGAACAACGCTAAAGCTTGGACGTGCGCCAGTTCGTGACATGCCTGCCCATTGACTGCTAGAACTTCATCTCCTGGAATCACACGGTTTATTCCATTATTTAATTATGTTGACATTGACTGTTTTATCACAAGGCACGCAAGGGTCATTTTATATTATCAGATCATATATCAACTCAATGTTCAGATTTAGTTACACCATTAACTAGACACTGGTAATCGGTGAACATTCTATGAACATATTTATCAACAGGAAACCAAACATAACTAGCTAACAATGCAGAATAAAGGCTGACGTTGATACACTAATTACAGTCAATGTAAACGTGACGTATTCACACATATATTAATTACCTGTTCGACAGGATCACATGAAAGATGGTGTAATCATTTAATTAATTCATATTATGACCAAAGTGGATCGTAACGAATAAATGATGCATTGTAAAATGTAATATCGGGGTCAAGTAAATATTTTTATAGATATTCTATGTCTACTTCAAATATATACAATGATACACAAGGTACAAACAAACTAACACTAACACAACACAACTATATAAACTATTAAGTAACAATCAAGGGCTGGTTATGGGCAATTTCTTTATCACATGTATTACATGGGAATTGGGTATGGAATTTCTAAAATATTTCTAAATAATAATGCAACTGACCTGCTTTTAGTCTGCCGTCATCTATAGCTTGTCCTTGTGGAAGTATACTTTTGATAAAAATACCGAGTGGCCCTCTAGGAGAGTCACGTCCACCAACGATCGTGAATCCAAGCGGTTTCTTCCCGTGTCCCTTTTCAAAGGTTATGGTATGATAAGAATGCGTGGGCGCTCGAGGTCTCCGCGGGAGTGTGCAAAAATTTGCTGCGTTCGGTGTTTGTATATCATTTCCACAATCCTGTCCATTTTTGTACCGTTCCGAACCATCTGCGACGTCAACGTCTACGATGTCTCCCGCGCAACTAAGAGCCAGGCCGTCTTTATTTGCGCCACCGTAACTGACAACTTGCCGACGCAACAACTTGTTGTTCATGCTGCTATAGCTCGCGTTCTGACCCTTGAGGAAATGTGAGTGCGCATGCGACGTGCTGTCGGCCGGCTCGTCCGCAGCTGATAGCGCGTGGCGATTACACGCCGACTCATCCTGCGACCGTCGGTCTATCCTGACGTCATATTTATCAACGCGTTTTTCCTTTCCTAATATTATTGCGTTTTCATAATCAACTGAACTTTCACGCATTAAGTTAATACTACGTTGTGATGGTTCTCTTTGTCTGCTGTCTGCCGATTTTTCACGTTGCCGGCAAATCACGATGTCTATTTCAGATAAACCTGATTTTAATGCGTCTTTCGCTTCGGCCATTGTTAAATCTCGAAGCCTGCGGCCATTTACGTTTAATAGTTCATCTCCGATGCGCAATGTACCCTCCCTGAAAAAACGAAAAAAGAAGCATTTAAATTTAATTGTCTATAATTATATATCTCTAGAATTCTTGTGAATTGTATTTTTTTCCAATTAAAAGTTTTTATAAATTTACGTTACCGAAAAGAAATATATATTTTTTGAAATATTTATATATTTTTTAAATTGAAGAAACCATAATTTAATGTTCATGACAGTAATTACACATATTTTTACAGTAAACAGACTTTCTGTGATCTGGGTTTGTGACAAAAGAATAGGTACATTTTTATACACTGCACGTCAAGTTATAAAAACTTTATTAAAACTGTTAAATTACTCTAAATAATAATTTATACTTTAAATCATTGAGGATAGTGTTCAAAATCAATTATTTATATTTGAAATATTGTGATAATTTGACGTGCTATCATAGGTTGTACAAATATAAAATAAAACATAATACTAACTTTTCAGCTAAGCCTCCAGGTACAACATGTGCCACTAAATAACCCACGTGGCCTTCGTCAGTTAATTTAGTCTTAGCAATGAAAATTCCCAATTCATCGGATGGATTGTTTCTTATTATTCTTACAACTTTGAATTCAGATTTTTCAGCTTTCTTGCATTTAGCTGGTTTTCTACATGGAGGTATAGGAGGAATCCCAGAATCTCCTAAACTTATATCTCGTTGTCGCATCTTTTGTTTTTCTGTTAATTGTAAATATTGAGGTTCTGCATAATCATCATTATTCTTTGGCATGCGTCTCAGGATTTCCTTTCGATCTAAAGACAGTGCCCTTTGGGTTTGTCGAGGTCTTGGTTTTGGGTGATCACTCCGCTCTCTGCTAATTCGGCCAGATGATCTAGGTCTACGAGTATAGCTTTGATCACTGGATATGCTTCTACCATGACACGGAAGCAAAGTGTTAACATGAGAGGCAGAACTTTCACATCGTGAAGATATTCTGTCACTATCAAATATGGATGATGCTGCCGATTCGTTGACTAATATGCCAGAATCAGCATCTTCGCAGTCTTTTATCAAAACGTTTTCATCGTCACACGATACTTGGTATACATCATCATGAAAAACTGAGTTGTGATCCTTTTGGAATTCATCCAAACCGGGTAATGCGCCGTAAGAAAAACTACGTAACTTTGCTTTGACACCACCTCGTTTTTTTCTATTCTTCGTATTACTTGATTTCAATATATTATCGTTACTACCGTTTACTTCCTCTTCATTTTCACCATTCGGCCTATACAATTTCGACAAAAATTTATTTGTAGATGATTTTAAATAACGGTCTGACATTGCTCTTAGTTTGGCAGAAAGACAGGAACTAGGACCTATTGTATCTTTTTCATTTTTATTACTCTTACATTTATCAGTCTTGTCCTGCGACTTTACATATGAAATGTCGTCGTAAGGTTCGTAATCATCATTAAAGATTTGATCACTTGATTTAGATAACTTTGCACCTGCCTTCGGTATAACGTGGTAACGATCGCACTCTGAACCAGAGCTGTAGCATCGTGTGCCTCTGTTGGTAAACGATTTGCCTTCCCTCCACTGGCTATCGCCAGGACTAGTCATATTTTTGGCAAAAAATACGTCATCATCGTAGTTTGGCATTTTTACCCAAGGGTTTTGATTTTCAAACTCTAAGTGACTCCCAGCGTAGTTGTTTGTATAACGACAGTGGTTAGCGTCTTCAATATGACCGAAACCGCTACAATCACTTCCTGATGTAGACGCCGTATCTTCTGTGTGTCGTAAGGGGCCGCTTGACTTAAAGCAAGACAGTTTTGTATTTTTTACCTTATCAAGCAACGGGTTTCGTTTTTCCCGATATATCGTATATTCTTTCTCCAATGAGCCCCCGCGATTTTTCCGTGTGGCATTATAGCTATCATGAGGTGAAGTGGGACCGTTCTGAAGTGATATGCGGCGAGTTACTGGAGTCTCGTTACTTCGGTGAAATCGATGAGGCGATTTCTCGACAATAATGATTTGATCGTTAAGGTTATAAAAGTTTGTTTCTACTGAGCTGCTGCTGCTTTTTCGTTGAGGGTACCGCACCGGTGATTCATCTGAAAAGAAGAAAATTATTTTTGTTTATTAATAAAGATATATTTTTTTTAATAAAGATATAATTTAAGAAATATAAATATAATTCGAAATATCGAAATCCAAAGGGAAATGTTTTAGTCATCATATATTTTTTGCTATCGGTATATGAATGCATACAAAATACACTAGTGAATCCCACCGGGTTCCTAAATATGACATCAGGTTATATATCAAATTACATGACGAAGTTCGGTTGTAGTTAAATTTACTTTCAGGAACATGATAGATAAACAAATATCAGAAAGATGATATGAAACTTGTCCGTCACTGTATATGATTGAATATTGCTTGGCACAATAGGGTCCGTAGATTAATGAATACCGAAGGTTTTTAATATTGTCAACAGATTATTAATATATTTTGAATTAATTAGACCCCGTGAAAAGCGCGTGGATTATTTATGAGTTATGTTATATATTATTCGTTAGTAAGGAATATTGTTTTGCCAACTTCGTTGGCAACATTGAACGTGAAATTGCGTATTGATTCACGCTGAATTTATTTTTGGCTTTGAGTAACGTCTCATTTTGTTTTTGTGAACGGATTTAGGATCTAAAACAATGAATAAAACCAGAAAACATTTTTTTTCTGTGCTCTTTGGAAAAAGCTATTTCTATTATCACATTTTCGTCGATATTTCTCACAGCTGTCATATCAATATCATGTTAACTTATTACAAAATACCAAATCTTTGCAATCAATTTTAAGATTATGGATACCTATATCGATGGGTCTTATTTTTATACATAAAGTAGTAGTATTTCTTGATAGTATTTAAACGCGCAATTTTTATCATCAGACTGGTGCACGAAGGGTCCCTTATAATTATCCATAAAAAATCACATTTGTTGTTTTCAAAGGAGTTGTTCGATATTTTTGTCTTTGTAAAGTCAACTTAAGTGTGATAGTTTTCCTATTAAATTTGTTATATACATATATATACTACTGCCATAACGTTTGAGTTTCTAACAACAATCGCTTAGTTGATAGAGGATTGACTCTAACGAAAATTTACATTTTAAAAAGCTTATTAAGTCACGATATCGAAAATGGTCTTCCCACACCCCTAATATTTCGAAAATAAAAAATGATATTTCTAAGATTTTTTTATCACTTTGTCGACGTGATTAAAGTGTATACTCATACTAAATTACACCTTTCTAATTCAACTCGTTTTTGAGCTAAACTGCAGACCGATGGACAGACAGATGGACATGACGAAACTATAAGGGTTCCTTGTTGACTATGGAATCGTAAAATTTAAAATGAAAGCACCTTTGTTTTATGAAAATCGAAAAAACAATAAAGACATCAAAAGACATTAAAAAAATCAAAAACCCGTTTTAAAAATACAGAAGCGTTATCTAGCGAATACAGCTAATTGTAACATTTAATTTTGCGCCTGATTACCAATTCTTGCGTCAAAAATTACGCTTTTGGAAAAACCGCAAAATTGAAAACGAAATCTACTTTGTTTGATGCAAATCCGGAAATAATAAAGACTACACTAATAACAAAAATTAAAATCCCGTTTCAAAAGTGTAGTAGCGTCATCTAGTGATCAGTAGCGTCAGGCTAAAGACTCAGAATAAGTAGTTTTCGTATCCGACGAGAGCGATGTATCTTCAGTCAAATATACATATCGCTAATTTTCTGGTAACTTCAATTTTTGTTAAGAAACGAAATAAGCACGATAAAGGCCTATTCACAAAGGGACGTAACGGTTAAAGAGACATATTGTTATTGCTATGTTTATTTATAACTGTTATTTTGGGTACAACACATCAATTTTAACTAATTCTTTGTGAAGTGACAAATGGAAGTTTGGAAGTTCAAAAAAATTAACATATTTATATATATATATATAAAAACTATACGTAAATGTAAAACTTTTTATGTCATTGTCATAGTGTGTATTAAATCAATCTTTATTTTAGTTTGCAATATAACATACTCTTTAACATTGAGTAGAAAGAAACTAAAAACATGGCGATTTGTCCTACTTAAGTGATTTTATCATGGGAATCTGATAATATAATTTTTATTAATATAAATGTAGCCATTCGGTAAATCATTTTGATATTAGACTAAAAGTGGAATTAATAATGTAGTAGTCATTATTTGGCGATTGCCTATAGATAATTTACGAAAACTAAAACAGAAGAAACCAATTGTTTAATTAAATAAATAAGGGACAAAAGTAAATAAGGGATTACTATCTCAAAGGATGGGATTGTAAATGCCTCTTAAAATCGTTTTTTTAAATAGATTTTTGATTATTTGGTTCTTGGGCCCTTTGGACTTGCCATTCACTTAAGTATCCCTTCCGTGAAGTACCCTTCAATTAAGTAGGTGGTGATTTCAAATGAATATCCGATTTTATTATTCCCTTCCAATTTATTTTCATAGTTAAGTTTACATAATAAAGTCATCGTTGCATAACTGAAAGTCGCGAACGACAAAAGGCGTAATGGACGTGCGTGCGATATTTAATGCCGATCGGATTGGTAACGAACAATCGATTCTAATGCTGTTTCTGTAATTACACAATCATGCATATCCGTTACTGGATAATCTAAACCCATGTGATAGCGATGTCTATTTGAGAGGTATTGAATGAGCGATATCGTTAATTTGATGGGTTAAATTAACGCAAATAATAATTTTAGTGTAAGTTTTTATAATGTTTCTTTATCATTAAAATTGTCATTTGTTATGTAACTCCATGAATCGCCATTACGATCGCTCTTCCATTAAAAATAATTGCGATAGATTTAAAATTAGATAATTAGTCCACAGGTGATTTTAAAGTTCCTTTTTTATCTGTATTTATTTTATTAGCATATTTTTTATTGGAGCTCGATGGCGTAGTGTTAGCACGTTGCGTTATGGTTGTTAAGCAACAGCCGTACTCATCAATCCTTACTAGGCTTGCGTAGTGGGTTATGGCCCATACTCCCTTTTCGATTTCATTTGATTCACCGGGTTCTACCTTGCACAAAGTCTCCCGCTGTCGATTTATGAACCGACTGCATAGAGTTTCGACTTTCACAAGTGCTTATAACATTTTAGACTAATTAAATAATTTTGATTTGCATTGATTCCTTCCATAGGAAAGACCTGAACCACAGCAGTGGGGACGTTAATAGGCTGGTGATGTGTTTGTGTATTACTTAGTATATATTTATTACAGATCATTCAAAATAGTAATTCTACTTCAATGTTTTCAATAGTGCCTAATATATGACTAATACATTATCGACATAGTACAATTAACTAGTAGCTCGGTGGCGTAGAGGATAAGCGCCGCGGCCCATGATCGTTGTTGTTAAGCAACTTTCGCATGGGCATCTCGAGCTACTTTGTGCTTCGGAAGGCATGTTAAGCCGTTGGTGCCGGCTATATCTGCAGTCGTTAATACCCTCCAATCCGCATTGGGTCAGCGTGGAGGGTCATGGCCCATCCTCCTTAACCATCCATAAGGAAGGCCTGAGCCCCTGCAGTGGGAACGTAAAAGGGCTGATGATGATGATGATAAGATTACAATTTAACTGGTATTCTCAAGTACCACCAACGCAACTAATATTGGGTAATAGAAATTTTTTTATTTACTTTTGAGAGTGACACAATCCCTTCGAAGCTCTTAAGTGATATCATACTGACTAACCAACCATATTTATCTATGCTTATATCAAATATTGATCTTAAATTACCATGATGGACTGGAATGTCAGTACTATTTATTAATAGGATGGAGCATTGCCTACGTGGTCAAAGGTAAAAAGAGACAACTAAGTATCTAGTTGAGTTTTTATGGTACAAATTAATCTATGATCTCTCGCAACATTTTCTCTCCAGTCTCCTAATTCTTGAATCTCCACAAAAATTCATAAAATTGCATCGTGAAAGAATTTCTAACAAATAAACAAACGTTGAATCTTACATTTTAGTCAGTACTAGCTTTTCGTCAGCGGCTTTTCCCGCGTGTTCCCTAGGGAACTGTTTATTTGGATATCGAATCATATCATGACATGGATATACATTGTTACAATGACTAACTGAATAGTAAACAATGGTTACTATGGTGGCGTTTTAATTCCTCATATAAACATCCACTCCTGTTTTTACTCCTTTATTTGCGGGAATAAATATAGCCTATGTTTACCGCATATGATGTAGCTTCCCGTATGTAAAAGTTTTTTTTAAATCGGTCCTGTAGTTTCGGAGTCTATTGAAAGCAAACAAACAAACAATCAAATCTTTCCTCTTTATAATATTAGTATAAAAGTATAGATTGCTAAATTAATTAATTACTGCTGTTCAATTCGCTGCAGTTGTTTTGTTTAGACAGTTTTGCATATTAACTGCGCCAGGCACTTGCCTATCGGTAGTTAGTGTCGCAGAAATGGATAAATCATCTGTCGTTTTATGAATGTCGCAATAATTATTATTTATGACTTTGTTTGTTTAAATGGAAATGTATCAAACACTAGAGATTAAAGCATCGCTAGGGACCTCACATAATGTCTTGAAGTACTGATTTATTTATAGTTTCAACAGGCTTGTGGTGTTAGTTTTTGGAACAACAAGAATTTCTAAAGCAAAGATAAATATTACAGTAGATGCTTGTCTTCGACTCGCAACGACTTTCCCTAAGTATTTTTGTCAATTTTACCAGTTGTTCTTAACTGATTTCGCTGAAATTTTAGATACAGGTTTAGTTTAGATGACAAGGAATGGATAGCTAGTTATGTTACACGAATCACTTCAATCCCTCTAGGGAAAAATTGAGAACGTAGAATCGTAGGTGTCATTGAATTTATTGCTGAACACTTGACCACGCCAACACTGATACAGTTAAGGCAGACAGAAGTGGGCGACTATGTCCCATCCATCGGTTACAGTTCGATTTACAACCGCTATAAACATTAAAAAGTAAATTAAATAATGATTGCATTGTAGAACGGCATTGTTAGCGGACTCAACATTCTCGAAGAGATATCTTGGACTCGCGTCTCGCCGAGATAGCAAGAAACCGAGACTGGCTCTCCACATTTTTGCTCGAGCATTTGTCTCTTAATTACTCATACGAGATGGACTATACATTTTATTTCCATTTTTATGAACACATGTTTAAGGTTACCGGGTACTGTGTCAGAGGTCTCGCAGCGTAGCGAATCGACAGAAATGGAAAGATATTGCCATAGATGCAGTTCAGTGCACGATAGAGAAGAATGTTTAAGGTATCATATAATAAGTTAACACTGATATGTTTCCACGTTAGTTCGAGATCGTGGGTCTATTTTAGTTTCCAGCCCAATCTACATTCACGCCAAAACTAGCCAAAACAAAAAATGTAGAGGTCCCATTTGAAAAGTCTCGCCTATGTTCCTGTGGTCATCTTTCGAGTTGGTATTCCCACACGAATTAAAGGACTGTAGTATAGCTTTGTGTTTGCACGAAATACCTACTTCATATTCTCGTCATATCAGCCCGCGTGCGTCTATCGCGGTGCGTGTATGTACATCGATATCAAGTCATCGTCATCATCAGCCCTTTTAAGTCCCCACTGCAAGGGCTCAGACCTTCCCCATAGATATTTAGCAAACGTTAACCTAGTATGAGGTTCTACGGGAGCAATATTTACTCCTAGAAGGTAGTAGGTATGCTTATTCTCTGTATAAAATTAATTTGGACCAATACCAAAATTGCAATTTTAGCGTAAATTTACTCTGACGCTAAACCTTGTTTATTATTAGCACTGTATATCTATTTGTATGTTTTTAAATTAATAAACTCATAAAAGTAGCAAATCCATTTTAACATCAAGTATTATTGAAGTTATAAATGTAGCAACGTTTAATTTTTTTTCATATGATTGGTGTAATTCTATTGGTGAAACGTTATTTGTTACCAGCGTAGGATGGTGTCTTATCATAGCACTAAAAAATATTTTTCCCAGGTAAGAGCGAAAGCTATAGATATAGTAGGAATTAAATATTCTTACTACAATTTTTTTTGATCTGCTTGTAGTTAAGCAAAACATTTGAACATACTCCCTTTATAATATTAGTGTAAATTAACGATAACTACTGAATTACAGACAAAATGCACTGTAGCACAAGAAAAACTTACTCTCCCAGTTATTTTTCCTACATTCTTTCAGTAGCAGTCCCGTTAGGACGGAAGTATGGTATTAAATTGATGCTTACCAATCCTGGATCTTCGTGTGGATCTCGTTTCGGCTTCTGGTGAGACGGCGAGCAGCCGCGGCGGCTCGCCTTTCTTAAACCACCGCATTCTCACTACCTACTCCATCTTGTTCACTCTGTAACAAAACAAACTTTGATATAAATTTATCTGTAAAGATATAACTCCTTTCTATATTATTTTATCAATTTACCCGTTTAGTTTCACATAATTTTTGTTTTCTAATTTGTTTTATTTTCATAAAATTCTTAATAAATAACGCATCCTTTGGATAATGAGTATTTTATTAAAAAAAAATATAGCCGCCTAGAAAACAAGTATAGAAATTGGATATATGTAGACAATAGTAAATTTATCAGGATTATGTTTATAATAAAAACTCTAATATACACTCTATTTGAACACTTGTCTTATTTTTAAACCAAAAATGTAAACAAATCTCAAAAAAGTTTCAAATCAATAGAAGCAAACCTCGTTTGAATAAAACCTCTAAATACCTCACGCACCGAAGCTACAATGAAGATTTCAAGTAGTCACCGACAAGTCGCAAGTTACATTAACTTTAGTGGCTAAACTTGGACACCTCAAGATCATTAAGCCTCAACCAGTTTCTTAACTCGCCAGACCCCTTTTACGATAGACTATTTGCAAATACAATTTCTACATACCATTTGCACTTGTCCAGTCATATTATGGGCGATGTTACGACACTTCACTAATTATTATGCTGTAGTAACATAATTTATTTTGTAGGTGACATAAATATCAAACAGTGTTAATGATTTATTTTGTTTTAAATACAATAACTTTTGTTTATATTATGAATAAATTATATATTTGTTACGAATTCAGCGAGTTCATTTAGATGACAAAGAATAAATCAATTTATTGTTTAAATATTATGACAAAAATAAATGAGATGTTACGAATTCTCTACATATTAATCCAACGTCTTGAAAGAATATTTATGATTCGAATAATAAAGTTATAGAGTACATTTTAATTAAGAACAGTAGTAACTTAATTAGGTCTAATCTTGTCATAAGATTAACGATAAGTAATGATATGACAGTCAGCTAGATCCAAGATAGGATCACCACAAAATTCGTTTAAGCCAATAATTAATAAGCCCGAATGCTTATATCTCAGAAATAGGGACATTAATGATCATGACGTCTCTTTCTCGTGGACTAAATTGTTATTGTCCTTTGAATATTACAAAGAACTACATTCGCTAGAAAGAAAAACTAACTCGTTATTGTACGTACCTATTACGTATTTACTTATCGAAGTGTAATTCTGGCTTAGGAGTCGAGAGTACGACTTTTTTCACACAACAATAGCTAACCTTGCATGCGGTGGCGTAGTGTTATAGATTCATTTTTTTGGCATTGAAAGGCTAAATAAACCAAGATATAGGGTTAAGAGCACATCGAAATTACATAACATTCATTATATTTTACTATAAATTACAAAGGTATTGTGTTATCGGTGTTCAGTATTCAATATTTTTTTTCTAATAATAGTTTGTAAGAATAGTTTTTTTATTGAAAACTTTAATTAAATTTGATATTTGAAATGTCAAACATTTTGATCGTTCTAAAAATTGATATTTTTTTATAGTTACGTACAAAATTACTCCGAAAATATTAAAATATCCCCCATGAAACACAACAGAGTCACAAAGTAGGTTAGCGACATGAAAAGGCATTCGGAGTAAATCGCAAGGGACTTGCAGCGAATAAATCTTCCAACCAATCACCTAGTACTGTTTGATCAAGCTGACTGAAATGTAATATCAACTTTGGTTGACTTTGCTTTTACGTTCATAGAATAAAATGAGAGATCAGGCCCTTCCCTATAGAGAGAATCGAATATAACCGCTGGAGAACAGGTCACGACTACTCAGGCCCTGTGAGAATTTAATGGTGTACACGACTGCGTGCTTTCCGAAACACGGAGGAGGTCGATATAGTAAATTTTTGGGCACCAATCCTATGACCGGCTGATGTTTGCTTAATTTCCGTATCGCTGACCGAACCCGCTAACTACTACTATAGAGTTCCCCTACAATAATGTCATTATACTATAAATACGCTATCACTATCGCAACAACACGACTCCTAAGTAATTCCGCATTTATAGGCGTATAAAAAGGTAAGTAGGTATATAAGAAACATGCTGACATTCAGTGTAATAGCGATTTCCTTACCCGGAGACCACTCATACATATAACGAGGTATTTACGAGACAAGATGCTCTTAAAAGTAAGCAACGTGTCGAAAGAGGTCGAAGCTTCTGACAGTTTAGGTCGGTGTTGTCAACTTATTTAAGCCACAAAAAGTCAAAATGGATGACATTAAAATAAAATATAAAATTATATACATATAACGTCATTATATTTATTAATAAAATCTATATTTCGAAACCCGCTTTAGGAGTGATGTCCTCGAAATTTAAATATCCGCATTATTTATCCAATATAATCTGTTACAGGCATTTGTGACAGACGAAAGCTACGCAATCATAGGTTCGCTAATCTACGACGGGAGACCTTGTAATGAGAAGATATATATTGTCTATAATTAAATTAGCAAGAGCTGTTGTCTTCTCCCTAATTTATTTCACATACTTAAGAATGGTTCAATTGAAAGATGACGTCACTATACTATGATGATACATTCCACAGGGTTGTACACAGGGTATAGGTAATTATAAAAATTTTAAATATGGACTACGGAGAAAATAATTTTCCATTTTTTTTTAAATTAAATAGCATTGTGAATGCAGCAACGAATAACGATACTATACCCATTCTTATCATAGAAAATAAATATCGTTCCAAAGATTTATCACACATTAGCAGCTACTAGATTTCATACAAACTGTGTCACTTATCGAATTTAATATTAATTTTAATAAATTTTAATTTTTAATAATTAATAAATTTCAATAATTAATTTTAATTCAAATAGTAATAGACATTTGTCTATTTGCAAAGTACTTCTTAATTTCAGATATAAGTCAAAGCTACTTTTGATTTTAATTAATAAATTAAATGCATTACGTAGTAAAAATATTTTGCTATTGAGCCTGGCAGTTAAAACGATTTGCCATTTTCTCTTTAGAATATTTATTAGTTAATGTTTCCGCCGAGAATCCATCGGAAACAGTGCCCCGTTCTACCGTAGCTAAGTGGATTTAGAGTAGAATAAAATAATTATTTATTTGTAGAAAATATAGAATAATCATTTTTTTGTGTATATATTATCGATGTATTGGTATGCAAATATATTTTGTCGTCATAGATATCTGGCTCGATATCTTTACCTTTCCCTATTATTTATTTGTTAATCGAACCAGATCTTTAAATAAATTGTGCAGTGCCAATAATAAATATATCTTAGTAATCATAAAAATGAAACATTCTCTTGAGAATTAAAAAAAAGTTAATAGTTTTCTCAAATGTGGAGAAATCGATAACACTAATAGCTTTAGAACAATAGGGTATAACTATCGACCGTCAATTTCATTCATGTTACATTAAAAACTACTTCCAGCTTTCACATCTTAGTTACGATGTGTTGCGCAACACTAGTATTTCAATTCCAATGAATTACGCTTCAACAATAGCGACAGAGTACCCTTCGAATACACATGCGATTTTTACTAAACACTCATTATTTCGCAAGAAAGAGTTTTGCTTTGTTCGCGTGAGGTTCAAATTACAATGCTTATTTAATTGGATGATACGGTCCTTTTTAACTTTAGAAGAGCTTAAAAATATTCACGCCCTCTTTCGCAAATTCATACTATTTGGTTTAGCTAAAAAACGGAACAGAATTTCTATGAGAAATCATTCTCTAAGACTGAGACTGGAGTTGAATTTGAAAATAACAAAGTTTATTTTTGTGGTATAAATCTATACTACTGTTACAAAGAGGAAAGATTTAATTATTTTGTGTGCATTAAATAAGGTCCGAAACTACTTGTCTGATTCTAAGCATTATTCCACTTAAGGGAAGCTACAATGCAAATGCGTTTCATACGCAGATGACATAGGCTATTATTTACTCGGGCAAAGTCGCAAGAAAAGAGCTACTAGTTAATAAAATGGCAAAATCTTTGTGAAACTCCTATCCTCTTATTATACTACTGTTCGTTAATACTACTGATCGCTTAAAGCAAATTGACAGAAGAGAAAACGTCAAATTGAAATGACACTTAATTTGGTCGGATAATAGTTTAAACCTACTGAAGTTAATCTTCATTTTATAATAATAAGGCTAATAATTTATTAGAGGTATTTTCGTGTTTCTAAAATGTATGTTAACTTTTCATCTTGTGTTTTGTGTTGTGACCAATCGAATAACTTTGTATGTAACTAATATTATAGACGAAATCTTAGAGAATTTAATTCAAAAACGTAGGTTAGTTAATATTTAAGTAAATTGTTGAGATACAAGAAACAGCATTCAATGATTTATGGCAACCCACGATGATGTCAGTGGTGTTTCAATAAATTATACGGAAAGTACTTGTCATTCTGGTCAACGAAGTTGTGGTACCTACGTAAAACTGTAGTTCTTGCGTAGGCAATCGACGCTTCATGTTTTTTTAATTAAAACCTCTTTTCTGTTCAATGCAGAAAGAAAACTATTCTAGAGAAGAATTGGCTGTATATAATGTAATGCCTTGAATATCGTACACTTAAAACCTGTTTACGGAGATATTAATTTTATGGGACAGCAATTTAAAATATATAAAATGACAAAAAAATATGAAATTGATGGTCAAAACATTGATCAAAACCCAAAGACATTACTGAATAGTTGTTTTCAGTGTCAATCTTTTAAATTACTGTTCTATTTTACAGGGGTAGACATTTTTTATTTATTTTATAGATATATCTGAAATATATAAAAAATATATCTCATAAATTAATATAAATCTAAAAATAAAATTCATGTTAAAAATATCCCGCTAAAACGCTAACTGCTTTCATGGCGTCGATGTGACGTCACAGCCCTCTGAAACTATCATAAACAATAATAACAACAAACATCGCTCTATGCACAGTTCTATGTATGTCAATGTCAAAGTCAAATTTATGACATC